TATTTATATTGTACTCGATAGTTGCTAGTTCCCCTAATTTCATGGTTGTTTGCGCCATAATAAGGCGTCTGCCACGAATAAGCCAGAAGTAATATAATAAATAGTAATCTACCAGGGGATAGCATTATAGAAGTGGGACCACATACAAAAAAAAACTGGGTTTTAGGCTCACTTTTTAAGGGTTCGGTATGTTTTGGCCACAGATGGGCGTGCCGGCACTGACATGTCCGGAGATTAGCCAAACTTCGTGAGTTATATAATAGTGTGTGTGAGCCCGGTATATTGTTATCACGATATTTCGCGAGGAGATGTTGACGGACTGTTGAAATGTTGTTGAATGTTGATAGACTAACCCACACATGAGTTATACAGTATTATATTACCAGGAGCATGTTAAAATCTGTGCTTCTGGTCTGGGAGGAGTCTAGCCACTTTCGTAATAATATGCGGGTTATTAATAGAATGGGTCTAACCGGTGCCGGTGGTTCTAACGACCTTTAACAAGTATGTTTAAAACAGGTTTGTTAAATTATAATATCATAACTAAAACTAAAGTAACGCAATAAAAGCTTGATTTAAAGAAGGAGGGGGGTCATGAGTATTTTTGAGAGTCCGACGAAAATGCCAAATTCTCATTCTCAAAAAATATTTTTGTGTATTTTTGAGAAACGTTTCCGGGAGAGGCGAAAAACTCATTCTCAAAAATTGATTTTGAGTATTTTTGGACCACATTGCACTGATAATCTGATATGAAGAATATCACTATTTTTGAGTGGACAATTTTTGAGAAAATGAGAAATCCATGGCATGCTGAATTTCTCAAATTCAAAAATACTCAAAAATACTCGACTAAAGTATGCCAAATTACCGTGCTCAGAATGCTATTTATAGACACCACAGCACACTTACCAATTAAAATTGGCACTTTATATTTAGAATATTCTGAAATGATAACAATAATTTAGAATAATTCAATGCAATAATTGTTATGCCGTGAAGAATATCATATAATGCTCTTGGTGATAAAGTAATAAAAATATTTATTTTGTAAACATTGGCCGGTGTACCAAAAACCGGTCCCCAAACAAAGAAACAAACATATTCAATTTCTCAGATTCGAAAACAATTTTTGAAAAAGTGAGAAATCCATGCTGAATTTCTCAAATTCAAAAATACTCAAAAATACTCGACTAAAGTATGCCAAATTACCGTGCTCAGAATGCTATTTATAGACACCACAGCACACTTACCAATTGATCTTGGCACTTTATATTTAGAATATTCTGAGTAATCACCTGCAGTTGGTTACCTCTTCAACCACAACCATACATCACTCTCTTTACAGCATGCAAATGCTGTTTAAACATGAGTCTCACTCGGACGAGATAAGTTAAAAGTTGTGTACATTATATTAGGCACTCTAACAGTTCATGATTACTTCACCACTATGAAGCTATCATAAATTAATTACAACACTACAAATCTATTATGTATTTATTGAGTATTATGTATCCTGATGGAAATATTTTAAGCGGGTAAAAGCCTGTTCAAACCCAGGGGCCAGGATACATAACAGACTTTGTTGTAAATTGTATAAAAAGCATTAATAAGCTCAGGAGGTGACCGGGATTCCCGGTTCCGGGTTAATTCAGGATTCTTGGTCCCGGTCCCGGTCCCGGTCAATCACTCAAATTTGCCGGGATTTTGACCGGGATCTTTTACATAATTTCATTCACTGTGATTGGAGAATGAAACTGTTGAATAATTTGAGAGATCATTGATTGAGGAATGAGGAATGAGGGTGAACTTGAGTAATCAGTACATGAACATTATTGGTGTAGTACATTAGGCCCATGCCCCATATTGACGGGTTTTTTCTAGTTTTTTCTAATTTAATATTCTAGTTATTACTTATTCAAATTGGTCAATTATAATGTAAATGAAAGTTGCAGCTTTCAATATGAGAATACCAGTTTTGGTCCCGGTCATCCCGGTCATCCCGGTCAAATCCCGGTCATCCCGGTCATCCCGTTCATCCCGGTAAAAATTGGATTGTTGGTCCCGGTCCCGGTAAGATAGAAATTATTGGTCCCGGTCCCGGTCCCGGTCCCGGTAAATTGATAATCTCAGTCCCGGTCCCGGTCCCGTTCAAGTCACATTTTGTATCCCGGTCCCGGTCCCGGTCAGGCCTGAAATCATGTCCCGGTCACCTCCTGAATAAGCTATCATAAGCTATAATATATTAATACTGTAATACTAACGTTATACAGTAAAATAAGCCATATAATAATACTGTAATACTTACGTTATACAGTAAAATAAGCCATATAATAATACTGTAATACTTACGTTATACAGTAAAATAAGCCATATAATAATACTGTAATACTAACGTTATACAGTAAAATAAGCCATATAATAATACTGTAATACTTACGTTATACAGTAAAATAAGCCATATAATAATACTGTAATACTTACGTTATACAGTAAAATAAGCCATATAATAATACTGTAATACTTACGTTATACAGTAAAATAAGCCATATAATAATACTGTAATACTTACGTTATACAGTAAAATAAGCCATATAATAATACTGTAATACTTACGTTATACAGTAAAATAAGCCATATAATAATACTGTAATACTTACGTTATACAGTAAAATAAGCCATATAATAATACTGTAATACTTACGTTATACAGTAAAATAAGCCATATAATAATACTGTAATACTTACGTTATACAGTAAAATAAGCCATATAATAATACTGTAATACTTACGTTATACAGTAAAATAAGCCATATAATAATACTGTAATACTTACGTTATACAGTAAAATAAGCCATATAATAATACTGTAATACTTACGTTATACAGTAAAATTTACTTACGTTATACAGTAAAATAAGCCATATAATAATACTGTAATAAGGTAATATACGTTATTGAGTAAAGCCCCGACCTACCACGGAGTAAAGGTAACAGCAAAAGTACGGTGTTGTAATTATATATTTAACATGCAACTACTAGTTAAGTTGCAACTACTAGAGCTTTTCAATTACAACTGAGACAAAGCCTGCTATATAACACAGGGGTTAAAACGTGTAAATCCCATTACGTAATATTCAATAAATTTATTAAATCTGTTATTAGTTTAAAACATCTGCAATACACTAGATTTAACACAATATCTTGTTACATAACAACAGAGAGCTGGTGTTCACTCCGCAGGAGTTTAAACAAAATGAACATCTGCATCATATAATACACAAAATCTGCATAATCTGCATAATCAGTAATCTGTATAATGAACATTTGCGAATTTAAAAATCACAAAGAATTTAAATATTTAAAAACTAAACACCAAGAAACATTACTTCTGAAGAGAAAAAACAACAAGAAAAATGTATAATTTATAAATGTTCATTAATATCTCCCAGAGAGAAACATTGTTAATAAAGTTTCACAAATCTCTGTTTAAGACAATGGTTTCAGTTTAAATTTGATTATCAGAGGTTCTTCTTCTCCCGACAATTATACCATTATGGAGAAAATATTTGGAATATTTAATTATCAACACATCAGTTTAGAACAAACCCTTATAATTAGTTAGATTAATTAATTAGATGGGACCATTCTCTGGTTTAGATATGGTATAATCTCAGTCTTCAAAATCTGTAGAACATATTGATTGAATTGAGAGATGTAGAGGATAGTTGAACGATAGCTGCCTGCTGCAGTAGTGCCGCCACAGTGCCACGAGAGTGCCGCGACAGTGCCATGGGGATACGGATGTTTGACCGGTATAAGGTCAAAATTGAATTAATTATCGAAAGGAAAGAAGAAAGAGATTATCGCCAAGGAAAGGGGATCACCATCACCATAAATGTCCAATTCAAATATTCACTCAATCTTGATACCTAATCGTGATACCTTTGCTCTAATACTAATCTCTCAAATAAGTGGATGTAAGATATCGTTGAGCTCAATAATTGACATCAAGGAGAGGACCAGTAATTGAGTTAGACTAAATAAGTTTTGTTAAGAGTTCGCACTTAAAACGTAAGGTACTCTGCCCGAATTAGACTAAATAAGTGTTGTAACCACGAGTTCGCACTTAAAACATACTCTGCCGAATTGTCATAATTGCAACGTCCCATTTTTCCGTGGGAACATTTCATTCTTAATGATCCGGGGAATTCCGCATAATTTTGGCGAGAATTTAACTCTGAAACTTCTTAACTTCTTTTAACTTCTTAACTTCTGCACCATGAAAAATAAGAAGATAGCTGTAACCATAACTAGCTAGCTGGTTGTTACAATGTTAACTTACTTCGGTATGTGCTATGCGGCCACCCTTTGTATGATCCATTATAAAGACCCCGCCACTTATATCAAATATTAGCATAATATTCAGGTTCAGGTTCTTTTCCAGGCGTTGTAATGACGTTTACCGTACTCAGCTCACATTTCTCTCTCACTACTGTGTTAGTACAGTGTTTAACAACAACAATATCTACTTATCATTACGTGTAAAGTAATATTCCTGTTTTGGTTTTGGATAAAACCATAAACAAGCTGTGATTGGAAAATGTTAATAACTAGACCCCACGTGAGCTCGTCTAGACTTATCGTCCCAGAGAAACCAGACAGGAGTTACCTAGAGCTTCTCTCATGTTGCCGCTACTCATTATCTGTGGTCATCACCCCTTGGGCACTTGAGCGTCTACTCATTCCCCCTAATTTCACATTGCCATTTCATCTCCACATAGATAACTCCTTCTTCAGGTTGCCACACCCCAGAGGCAGTCAGAGCATTCTCATGCTATCCTCTCGTGGGCCATCTAGGTCCAGCTTCTCTTTTTTAAAATATGTTTAATATCCCACGTGACCACTACTAGAACTAGAAGAAATAAGTCTTTGTGACCTCTTATTCGTGTATCACTGCCAGGGTCACGTGATGATAGTGTAATTAATAGAGTTGTTGGTTAATGAGGTTAATGATTGTGTGGTCTTAATAATATTGTTATGGTTGTTACTACCTAGCTAGATTATGAAATTAAAAGTGGAGAATACTATAGAACTTTCTCAAGAAGTGAAAGTTACACTGTCCTTAAACCAACATAACTGCTTAATTTTCTAGATTATTAGTTGATTCCTTATTAATTTTTTTCAGTGAGCTTGTGAATCTGAGCGAGGAGCAGATAACAACCGACCCAATTAAGAAAGAAAAGTTCTTCAAGTCCATGATCAAAGCCTTTAAACGTCATGCTATGATCAGCGCTTCAATCGAGGTTTTTAGCTAATTGGATTTTAATTTAATTAATTTAAAAGTTAATTAATTTTAGTCACGTGATTAAAAATAATACCATCTGACTCACTCTATTTCAGTGTGAAGAGAACCAGGAGATGGAAGCTAAGTTGGAAAGTGGTCTGATTGTTGGTCACGCTTACGGAGTGTCTCGTGTCTACGAGGTGAGCTAGAAAGTGTAGACTAAGTGTATATTAAGTGTAGATTACGTTTAGATAAAGAGTAGATTAAGTGTAGATTAAGTGTAGATTACGTGTAGATAAAGAGTAGATTAAGTTTAGATTAAGTGTAGATTACGTGTAGATTAAGTGTAGATTAAGTGTAGATTAAGTGTAGATTAAGTGTAGATTAAGTGTAGATTAAGTGTAGATTAAGTGTAGATTAAGTGTAGATTGATGCTCATTTCAGAGACTTGTCCGTGAATTAAAAACCTACACAACAACACTGTAGAAAATGTGATATTTCCAACATTATTATAATATGTATATTATGGGAATACTATATTTTTCCCGATCCATGACTCAATGTGCCGTAGGCTCTAACGATTCAAGGATAAGGGTTAGCGAAGGAGGTTTTTTTTTTGTATATGGTAGCTTGCGTACGTGCCTGCGTATGTGTCCTCGCGCAAAAGAAAAGTGGCCGCATTTCTTGTTAACATACTTTTTAAAATTCATATCAATATTTAGTAGGATTTGTTGACATGTGAGCACTATCTCTGAAGTCAGTTTTGAAACTGCCTCATTCCCTACTAAATTTCATAGACATTTCATCAGCTGCTCAAAAAGCCAAAGCACCGTCGGTGGCCAGCTTTTAAAAAGCTCTTACATAATTTTCTTTCAATTGCAGTGTTGAGACAACACTAAACACGGTACCGAAAGTGTTTGACATCGGCGCTTTTGGATGAAAAACATATATTCTGTGGGAAGCTGGGAAGTGATGAAAAGTTTGGAATTTGACTTACCTGGTCGGTTCCGGCAAGGTTTCGGGCAAAATTTCCGTTTCAGCGAGTTATTCAGGAGCTGAAATGGCTGCTTTTCTACTAAAACTAGCTACCATTAACTGGCTCCCTGTGTACTGTGCTGTGTCCTGATAATACTTTAATACAGTGATGTCATTGGCTAGAACAGAGTCGCGTGACATTACTACTGTGTTTTGATTGGTCGACTCAGATTTGTTGACAGAAGGTACTCGTCTCGGAGCTCGCTACAGAACACATTCGTTTGATTATCTCTGCCTCCGTTTTCTGGAGTTATAATAAATAAACCCGGTGAAAAATATTATTTCGCACTGAATATCATGAATATTTTGTAGTGAATATGTACCATAGAATATTTTGTACTGTACTGGAGTAGAGAGAGGGAGAGAGAGAGGGAGAGAGAGAGGGAGGGAGGGAGGGAGGGAGGGAGGGAGGGAGGGAGGGAGGGAGGGAGGGAGGGAGGGAGGGAGGGAGGGAGGGAGGGAGGGAGGGAGGGAGGGAGGGAGGGAGGGAGGGAGGGAGGGAGGGAGGGAGGGAGGGAGGGAGGGAGGGAGGGAGGGAGGGAGGGAGGGAGAGAGGGAGGGAGGGGGGAGAGAGGGAGGTAGGTAGGGAGAGAGAGAGGGAGGGAGGGAGGGAGGGAGGGAGGGAGGGAGGGAGGGAGGGAGGGAGGGAGGGAGGGAGGGAGAGAGGGAGGGAGGGAGGGAGGGAGGGAGGGAGGGAGGGAGGGAAGGGGGGAGGGAGGGAGGGAGGGAGGGAGGGAGGGAGGGAGGGAGGGAGGGAGAGAGGGAGGGAGGGAGGGAGGGAAGGGGGGAGGGAGGGAGGGAGGGAGGGAGGGAGGGAGGGAGGGAGGGAGGGAGAGAGGGAGGGAGGGAGGGAGGGAGGGAGGGAGGGAGGGAAGGGGGGAGGGAGGGAGGGAGGGAGGGAGGGAGGGAGGGAGGGAGGGAAGGGGGGAGGGAGGGAGGGAGGGAGGGAGGGAGGGAGGGAGGGAGGGAGGGAGGGAGGAAAATTATCGCTATGATGCTATTTCGTAGATATGATCTAATTTAAAAGATAATATTATGATGTAATTTAGAAGATATCATCTAATTTAGGACGGTCAGAACAAGTTTTACAAAGCAAATTACACCCAAGCTACCTCAAAACAATAAGCTTTATTGTCTCTACACAGTGATTTTATTGGTTAAAACATAATCACGTGCCTTCAATACTGTGTTTTGATTGGTCGACTCTACACACTACACACGTCACTCTCCATATATCGTTCTGTAGTATCTCTATGATGAACAATGGACATCTAGATCAGATCAATATTGACATTGTTCTGATCTTTCTTATAACATCACAATGTAACTTCAGTTGTTTAACTTTACACGCTCCAAATTTAGAGTTAGAAATGATGAATTCTTTTATGAAGTATATATAAACATGATAGGACTGTATGAGTCCATTTTGAAGTACGTATGACGTATGTGTGTTTGTAAATAAGATTTTGTTTTCAGTTGGAGGTTCCCGGTCATGGTTTGGCTCGTTTGATAAAGCTAAGGAATCCTTGGGGACAAAAGGAATGGCAAGGAGACTGGAGGGACGAGTAAGTTATTTTCTGTATCTTTAGGGACGAGTAAGTTATTTCCTGTATTTTTTAGAGACAGTAGTTGGTAAAGTTAAGGTGACCTTTCGTGGAAAGCATGTTTTTTATTTCATTGAACGGAGTGTAATTTGTAAAAATGTTTGGACTAGTAGCTATTGGTGGACATACTGATGATGTTGTTCAGAAGGAAGCACAGCCGAACCTATTAAACCTGTTAAAGTACCGTTAAATTTGGTCCAGGAAACTTGAATTTAAGAAGGTAGAAATGTTATGGACTTGATGGAAGGCGCGGAGATGTATGGTGTGGCGCGCATTAGTATTATTGACGCGCGTTTCGGGGCTCAAATAATTTAATCGGATTAGATCAAAATAAACGTATTAGCTACCTTACTCGGGATTATTATGACCGGGATAAAGTGGTGGGTTTAGGGTAATTTCGCCATATTTTTCCCGAACCACATTTTCACCGGTCGTTAATAAACCCGCCTACTCAGCTTTTAGGGTTCCCAAGGTGTATGGGTGCTCATATTTTAATCGTTGTCTTATATTCACTAAAGAAGACTATTGGGACACTTGTTCAGTGGCGTAACGAAGGGCCCTGCTGACCCTGCTGTGCAGGGGGGCGCCGTCTTAGGGGGGCGCCAAATCGTCGTTTGAATGTGGGACAATTTCGAAAACTTAACTAAAGTATGTAAAATCCGGATTGGAGTATTATTTATGAGTCGCATTGTTGTAACACTAGATACATACCTACACACTTCACATCATGCACCTGTTCACCGTTGTAGCACTCCATGCTTCTGTATCATGTGTAGTATATTTAGTAGTAGTTTTAGGAATGTACAATATTTACTATAAAAGTTTGTCGTCGTATAAATTAGTTTTGTTATGAATTTTGTTATGACTTTTTTGTATCGAATTTTTGGATAAAGTTGATTGATTAAAAATAAATTAATGTACACAAATTTTGCCTCAGATATATGTTTTTTACGTTTTGAATTTTTAACACTTGTTTTTAGATCATGAATACGATGTAGTTACATTGAAACGTCGAGTAATCTCCTTTCCCTAATAAGAGCATTTTTACTTGTCGCAACAACCGGGATAAAGATAATTTTACCCAGAATACATTAACTAAAGTACTAGCAAAACTGCGCGTTTTGCTCTAGATACACACTTTTTTAGAGATTTTACCGGCGTATCCTCTTAAATCACCTAATTTGTTCAATTTTAGGGAGGGGCACCAAAAGGGGAGGGGGCGCCAACAGGGGGGCGCCTTTTCGGCAGGGGGGCGCCAACAGGCAACGTTACGCCACTGCACTTGTTGTAGGTTTTTCGACTTCATTTGGCTAAAATTGCAAAAATTAAGTAGTAGTAGTAGTAGTAGTAGTAGTAGTAAACCCGCGATGGGGTGGCATGTGCCTCAATAAAAATATTACAATCATTTATTATTATATCAATGTATCATTAAATATTTCAAAAATATCAATAACGTATGGTTGATCCTTCACACTTGGTAAAATATATAAAAATAAAGTTAATCTACACTAAAGAATAAATAATCTATATTATATAAATCAACAATATTAACTCCCCATCTTCATGTAGTCATTTATCAAAGCGGTAGAAATCCAAGTAATTTTAGTACGCGGTGCGCAAGGAATTTTGTTTTTTTTTAAATGTGTAGGCAAGATAAGCCTAAGTGTGGCAGTGAAAATTGAAAAATAAGTTGCAGAATAAATTGCAGTGACTGACTGTCAAATGCATTATCGCAGTTCATTTATTTGACTGCACAGTGCACTAACGTTTAGGATTCTTACAGCTGTTATATTTTGCTAATATTTTGTTTAAAAGTTGTAAAGGACAAAGTTCTTGTCCGTCCACGAAAGGTTTTCTAGGTCAAGTTTTTGTTTGTCCAGTAAGTAACGTACAATGTTGTCCTTGTATGAATTAATAAACTTATCTTGTAACTTAGGTACGTTGAAGGGAAGGATTTTGTTTATTTCGTTTATCGTGTTGTTATATAATCGTGGTCCTACGTTAGAGATGCTATAATCGGTGATCCGTAATCTGTTGAACTTAATTTCAAAATACTTTGGATTTCTCCTTTCCGTTTGTATAAGCGGTGATTTTTCAAATATACTACAGATACTCGATGGTGCTACTCCCATATAAACCTTGTGCATCAAAGTTAGACAGCTTTTAGCAATGAGATTAGGAAGAGCCAAAATTCCTATTTTGTTGAAGATGGATTTTGTGTGAGATGGTAGTTTACGTTTTTCTTTGTCGTAAAAATAGTTATGATATTCTGAATCAGTGGCGCGAATAGCTTTCTTTTGAGCAGAGAATAAAGACTGAATGGAATTTAAAGATTTAGTACCCCAAACAGTAGCGCAGTAATACAGGTGAGATTGAATTAAACTATTGTATAGCATTTTTTGAGCTTTATTCGGAATGGAACTTTTAAGTTTCATCATTACGCCTGCATTTCTGGATATTTTAGTCTTTAACTGTTTAATGTGCTGGCTCCAGCTAAGTTTTGAGTCAATAATGACACCTAAAAATCGTTCATGTTCACTTTTCACTAGTCGCTGTCCTTCTATACTAATATTTATATCCTCTGGTAATCTGTTAGTGAATATCATGTATTTAGTTTTTCCTACATTAAGTTTAAGACCGTTGTTTTTAACCCATGTCTGTACAGTATTTAATACTCTGTTTGCACGCATGTTCAGTTCAGTGTACGTGTCGGCAGAAACGATGATGTTTGCATCATCAGCGAAGAAAATATAATGGGCTATATCGCTTACATTTGCAAGGTCGTTTATGTAAATAATGAACAATATAGGACCAAGAATGGACCCTTGAGGAACTCCATGTTCCAATCCCATTTTTTCTGAACTGCAACCGTTAACGTGAACATACTGTTTCCGGTTAGTTAGATAAGACTCAAACCAGGATAAGCTAAGGCCTCTTACACCATAGTGCTCCAGCTTATGTAGCAGTATCTCACTGTCTACTAGGTCAAACGCCTTGGAGAAGTCAAGAAGCAGTAATGCTGACACTTGCTTCCTTTCTAGAGCTTTATGTATGTTAAACTGAGCTTCAAGCAACGCATGTTCACAACTGTGACCCGATCTAAAACCAAATTGCGACGCATATAGAATATTACGTGATTTTAGGTGCTTTACTAAACGTGCATGCATTATTTTTTCGAATATCTTTGAGAAGCAGGACAAAAGTGAGATTGGTCTGTAGTTTGTAATTTCGCTGCGCGATCCTCCTTTATGGAGTGGGATAACCTTAGCAAGTTTGAGCTTTTCGGGGAATACTCCTTCGTGAAGGGAGTGTGAGATCAGGTGATTAACTACTGGAGACAGCACATTGCAAACCTTTTTAAGAGGCTGTATATTCATATCTGAAGTCGATTTGTTCTTAAGATCATGTATGATTTCAGCAATTTCGGAGGGCGAGGAGTCCTCCAGCTCCATATCAAAATCACATCGACTTGATTGGGGAAGAGAATGTCCTACTGATCCTGCTGCCTGCACCGCGAACCAGATTGTTTTCGCTCTTTAGGTTCTCAGCTATATTAGTAAAATAATCATTAAAACTGTCAGCTATATCTTGTGAGTCGGTTATAACTCTATTTTTATAGTTAATCTTACTTATTTTTATTTTTTCTTTTGATTTCTTGTTTAATATTTGATTAATCATTTGCCATTGTAATTTGCTATTGCTCGCATGCTTTTTAAAATATGATGCGTAATACTTCTTTTTCGCAATATCTACTTGTTTTTCAACAAACTTTTTCATATGCTTATAAGTTTTTTCATTTTTTTCAGTAGGCTCTTTAACAAAGGATTTATATAGTTGGTTCTTTCGATTGCATGCACATTGAAGCCAATCTAATATCCACGGTTTAGAGTTTTTTCTGTGGTTTGATTTTTTCTTTTTAACTGGAAAACACTCATTATAGACTTCTTCATATTTAGTGTGAAAAGCTTCAAATTTTGTATTTGTCCCGTCAACGTTGTGTAAAAAATTCCAATCAATAGACGCTATTTTCTCCTCAAAACGAGCGATTTTCTCTTCATTTATTACTCGGTTTGATGATTCACAAGTTTCATTTTTCAATTTATTTCCTATTCTATTAGTGTCGAGAAGTATGCCGGTAAATGTGGCAAGGTGATCAGATAGCGATTCAGTTATAATGCCTGACTTTGTTATAGCATGGCATTGGTTTACGAAAATGTGATCAATAAGTGTAGCACTGTGACAAGTAATACGAGTTGGTCGTGATATCGTTGGTGCGAATCCATACTCTGCAAAAATATCAACATATTTAGTAGTATGGTCATTTACGCCGTATTCTAATAGATTAATATTGGTATCACCTAGAAATAATACGTTTTTGTTGCTATGTCGCGCCAAATCTTTTAGGGTGTTTTCCAATTTTTCTAAGTAACTGGGGACATTACCACTGGGAGACCGATACATATTGCATAGTATGACGTTTTTGTGGCCATTTTGAGCTATCTCTATTAACTGAAATTCGCCAACGTTTGGATCATCTCTATAAGATAATTCAGATCGTGCAGTGACATCAGATAATTCACAGAGATTCTTGTTTACATAGGTTACTAGACCACCGCCCTTACCAGAGTCCCTTGCGGGAGCCTGAATAAAGGGGGGATGAAAGCCTTCTAACTCTAATTCTTTTCCTTGAAATGACATACTTACAACCGTGCAGTTTGTTTCGTTGAAACACAGAACATCAAATTTTAGGTGCTGTTCAATTTCATCACGTATATTAGAGATTGCTTTGCTCAAAGATCGAATGTTAAGAGATTGAACTTTAAATTCATAAGGCCTACTCGTGTTGATTTGCCGTGGTTCGTAGTATTTACAGCTATTTAGTACATCTGAGCAGTTATCCCATGGATTAAAGTTTAAGTCATTGTTTTCTTCAAAAGTATTACCTATATAATTAGAGTCATGGTTTCTATGGTATGGGTTAAATTTTGCGCTATTCTCGTAATTACCGTGTACGGTGTATAATTGTCTAGGTGATACCTCGAAACCAGGAAACAATTCACGTGTGCAGCTTTTGCATCCTAACTCGCCCGCTGAGCATTTATTGTGCGAATAAGCGTCGCATATCCAGCAAACCGCCATTTTTGATTTGTTTCCTAGCTTTTTACAAGTTTTGCAACTCACCCTGGCAAAACTTACTTTAGATTTAGCTTTTGTTTCTGTACTACAGGGTATGTAAGTGTTACACGAATTTTCATTAGTTAGAGTGGTAATATCAGTATTAGTAAACGGAAATATGTCAGTAGTACATGCCAAACAATACCAGTTTATGAAACTATTGTCTAATTTCATTCGATTTACGTCATTTGGTTCAAGATTAGCACATTTACGATGAAAAATACCGTTACAAAGGCTGCATTTTAGCGGATCTTTACGTTCTAAACATTTTTTAGAACATAATCTACATCTACAAGACTCTTTGCACATCTTTAATTTGCAAAGTATAACTATAGATTACTGGTTATATGATATACGATAGATTACTGATTATCAATATAAAATTAAAGATCTAAAGAGATTTAATTTTATACAGGAACTGTGGGTCAAGAAAACGGGTTAAGTTTTATGTTTGACTCCTAGTTCCAAAATCAGTCAAAATCTGTAAAGGTTAAATAATTGATTAAATAGTTAAAATATTTAAATATAAATACACTGAATTTACTCCAGTAATTCTACGCTTGTGTTGTGTTGAAATTAGTTCGGTCCGGATTTATGTTGTTGTTATCTGCAATTTTGCTTATAACCGGTTCAGATAAGATAAGAAAGAGTAAAAAACCGTTTAAAATTTACTGTGATACATTTACCATGGTCTATAAGCCATCGCAATAAAAAATAATTTATGATTAGAAAAGAAAAAAGAAGATAAGGGACTTGCTGTTTTTTGAAAAATTTGAACTTAGGTACTTTCTGTGAACGTTACTATACGTTTAGCTTTGAAAAATTAAATTTGTTCAAAATTGTGTTGTAAACGATTATGTATTCGCGACGAAAAATTTGATTTAAGAATTTCTACTGCATTGGCAAAAGAGATCGGAACTCATCCCTTAAAGGCCACACCTCTTCGATTACTGTCGGTCTTCGCCTGGCCAGTTCAATGATGCAGTCCAAGAGACGCGAAACGATCCCTTTCTTGGCTGCTAAGGTTAGATGAATACCGTTCCCATTTGGATCTAGTATAGTGCACCTTTTCCTCACCAGCTCAAAGCATATTTGATGCGAGTCAAACATCAATAGATTTTCAACCTTCGTGGTTAAAATAAATAAAGACTCGTTAAACCTACGAATTTCTGGATTTAGCCAGTGATAAGTGGTTAGTGTTATGGAGTTAAAGATGAATGTGGTGTTTGGGTATCTCTCACAATAAGTACGCAGATCATTCGCCACGACATCAAACAACGAGTAAGAACGGTGATTATACCTGGACAAATCGTTGATGCCTGCCGAAATCACCACGTAACTCATGTGAGGGAATAGGTGCTCAAACTTGTGAAGATCGGTGATTTTGTACATTGTCTCCTTGGTGCATGGCAAGTGAGTAGGAAACAAGCTGACGGGTGTGGTTGAATGAATTGAATCCGTCAATAGCAGAACACGTTCCGTTGGAATCGGAGTCGGGTCTGTTTCTGGTCTACTAGATTGGCGGATTGGTGGTATATGCTGTGGTGTGGTGGGAGCTGAGAGTCTGCGAAAAGTTAGTGATAGTCTCTCGCCTTGTGCTGTGGGATCTGCTTTAATACCATGTTCCTAAAAGTCCTGGGAGGACCTTGACATGCAATAAGTCTGCCCGTGTTTGAGGTGTATGGATTGTGTCGTGAGAGGTCCTATTTTGCTGCGGAAGTCAATTGTTCGGGTAGCACCGAGACTGACTGTGATTATGTTACTGGGATTGACGATGCAAGCTTCGTTGTCACTGTGCATGGGAATTGAAGATTTACCGTTCTCATAACGAGTAAGAAGGCAAGTTATGTTGTCTGTGGTGAATGTTGGGTCTTCTGTGTGATGAGCGATTGAGTCTATGATTTCAAGGAGTGGGTGATTCGTGGGAATATCAAGTGGTTTCACCTTTTTGCCCAATTCTTGTCATATATCCTTATTGTCAAATTTGATTTAAATAGGCCAATTTTTAATTTCTTAGGTATTGACTATCTCTACATAATGAAATAGGACTCAAAGTAAAAGTAACAGTTAAATTAAAACTTGAATTAATTAAAACTGATGAAAGGGATGATCCAGATGAAGATAACGAAGATGATTACAACTTATTGGAAGACTAAACAGCTCTCCCTTTATCTTAATATCGATCTGGTTGTTACGCTTCAAATGTTAAAAATTATTTTCCATCTAGTTTGATTAACCACGAGTCATTATTTCTGTCTACTTTCAACAATTATTGATAATTCGACTTGTTTCACAAGTTTTAGCAATGCGAAAATTTCTAAACTTGCTTATCTCTAATAAGGAAATTTACATCTGAGACAAAATTTTTGAATCTAAAATTGAAAGGTTGGACACCGGTAAAATGGCGACCGGGAAAATGTGGTGGGTTTTGAGCAATTTCGCCATATTTTTCCCGAACCATATTTTAACCGGTCGTTAATAAACCCGTCGTAATAATCCCGAGTAAGGTAGGCTGATTTGATTTTGGTATCAAACAAATAATTTCCGTGATCCAACGGACCTAGTATCATTCACTAATTAATAAATATGATTTTAATTGCTGTGGAATTGTCTTGATTTGATTTTACATAATATTGTAATGTGTAGCTGAAACCTAATTTTTGGATGTTGTTTGTTTGTTTGTTTATAGAACCCGTCCCCAATCTCGTATCGGAAAATGACTAAACTCAATTCTGAGTGTGAATACGGGTGGTACCTGCAAGGTACATCCTTTTTGGATACAAAGTAATTTAAACTCACTACCCAATAATTAACACTTACAACCCCTCAGCGACCCAAAGTGGGGCCAACTCACAGAAGACCAGAGGAAAGAACTCGACCTAACAATTGAAAATGACGGTGAATTCTGGATGAGTTTCGACGATTACCTGAGCATTTTCACTCACACCACAGTGTGCAGAGTTGTGAACCTCTGTAAATCTGACGAGTTTTGGGTTTTGGAGGAGAGAAAGGGGATGTGGCAGAAGGACGTTAGTGACGGTGGATGTGTAAACTTCAAGGTAATTAGTTAATCAAAAACAACATATTATGTGAACAGTCGCTTCCGCATGTTTTTTTTTCAGAAGTAATAGGCTCTCTACTGTACGCTAGGTTAACACACAACAGTGACTGGCACTAAACTCTAAACTCTAAACTATAAAGTACCCTGTTAATTTCCCCTCGCAGGATACCTTCCTATCGAAGAACCACCACTATCAGTTTGAGATCCTAGAAGCAGACGACGAAACTGTACAAGTGATGTTGTGCCAGAAAGATGTTCGTATTGATGACACCACCAATATTACCATTGGTTTTTCCATCTTCAAGGTATGTCCTGGTTCAGACCCTGGTCATTAGAAACACCCCTAAAAAGTTTTTTTGTTGACAAAAAAATTAAAACTTCTGTAATTCCATTTCTGTTTTAGTTACGCATTTGATTTTTGGTATGCGTATAGAAAATCGATTCGGCTTTACAATGAGATGTCCGGCGACCTCCATTGCGATGGAAACTGCATTGCAATGAAAACTGCGATAAAAAGCCGTGCATATAACATAAAAACGTGCGCGATGTCCTCCTCCTCTTATCTCCCTCTCCTCCTCCTCTTATCTCCCTCTCCTCCTCCTCTTATCTCCCTCTCCTCCTCCTCTTATCTCCCTCTCCTCCTCCTATTATCTCCCTCTCCTCCTCCTCTTATCTCACTCTCCTCCTCCTCTTATCTCACTCTTATCTCCTCCTCCAGGTGGCTGATAACAACAAGTACAGGATGACGAGGTTCACCAAACACATCGCCAGTACCAAATACCTCAACACTCGACAGGTAAAAAGTTCGGCTGTATTATAGCGGCGGTTATTAAGTTGCTGTCACAGCTCTCTATTGGCTTTTACGGCTGTATAGCGGTTTTTACGGCTGTATAGTGTATACTCTATATAGCGGAAAAAACACAGGAACTTATCCGTTTTTTGAGTTACTGTGTTTCTTCTGGACATGATAAATGAAGAATAGCTTGATGTAAATGTACGGACATATTTTGTTGCAAAATCCTCTGGAGTGAAAACATTACAGTGGTGTACTTTTCCTATAACATGGAGATTAGTGAATTGTTAAATGATGGTATTACCATATATTATGGTCGTGTCATCATGGTAACTATTCCTTGCACAGGTGTTCAAGCGACTGGAACTGGAAGTAGGAACTTACGTGATTGTACCAACAACCTTCAAACCCAACACTGAAGGACACTTTCTTCTCCGTCTCTTCAGTGAGGACGAAGCAAACCTCAAGTTAGTATCCTGTTTTTCAGGGTAATCTTAACTGCACGATGGACGATGCTCAAAGACATAATGTTTTTTCTTACACACCCTCGAGATTTACCATACTTTGTATAAACTTAACGTGTAGATGAGGTTGTGATCTCTTTGTATTAGAGACAGAACTGGGAGACTTGACCTCAGTTTTAGTAAAATGTGTGCGACATGTAATAACTTCCCGTAGTTAAGCAGTATTTGAGGGGGTGTTCGTAAGTAACATCCCCTTTCTTCCCTTCAAGGTTTTGTAGATCAAGTGAGTCCTGTTTTGTAGAGTCATGTAATAATGTCGCTATGTTATTATTATAATTAAGGCATAATTGTGATAATTAAAGCATAATAAATGTTTCAGTATTTATGTGACTGTGAAATGTTTTTTACAGTTTTTATTCACCCGTGTTTTGCGCTCCAGTGATGTCTTAATTAGGGTTACCGAATAGTTTGGAAATTGTTCGGATTAGGAGAATATATTCGTTAACGAATATCTGATATTTGATTATTCGGTAAGTTTATTGGATAATAAGTTAATTTGATAATAAGTTAATTGGATAATAAGTTAATTGGATAATAAGTTAATTGGATAATAAGTTAATTGGATAATAAGTTAATTGGATAATAAGTTAATTGGATAATAAGTTAATTAGATAATAACTTAATTGGATAATAGGTTAATTGTATAATAGGACAATTGGATAATAACTTAATTAGATAATAGGTTAATTGTATAATAAGTTAATTGGATACTAAGTTAATTGGATAATAAGTTAATTGGATAATAAGTTAATTGGATAATAACTTAATTATATAATAGGTTAATTGTATAATAGGTTAATTGGATAATAGGTTCCCCTTGCACGATGAGTTAGTTTACGTCTCAGGTTGCTGGAGAAAGAGCCGAGCAGCAGTGCGCTAGGTACAGCTGACGTGGAAGTGGTAAAGTGTGACGGACTCAACCTTCCTGACGACAATATCGGAGTTTACGTTGCTCTGGTAATTATTTCCTTGGTTGGGGAATCAATATTTGTTTTATTCTACATATTGTCAGTCTGATGATATACTACTAATTATGAAAATGTTTAATGAGCCGCTCCCCGGCGGATGTGATTTATAATTATTTTAAGTTATTTGGTCCTTCATTTTACAAAATCTTCTCGGTAAGATATTAATTTATTATTGTAAGTAATTGTTTTCAGGTTTGTGAGAACAGAATGGCCAAGACCCCCTTAAAGCAAGGAAATAACCCCGAGTTCAACTGCAAAGCTGCCTTCCATATTAAGGCACCTGAGAAAGCTACTGTAGTCGCCCAGGTAATTAGTTTGTTAATTAGTTAATTGTTGTGTTAACTTTGTTTTAAGTTTAATAGGGGTGTCAATAACGTTTATTTGACGTATAATTTTATAAAAACTACAAGATAAAATAGGTATACGGCGTGTATAATTAGCTTTCACTCTGCGTTTTTCTATTTTCTGGAATACTATTTATTTATTGTCATGTTATTTTTCAGATAATGGGTTTCAAAATAAAGTATAACTTAAAAACATTAATACAAAGTTATGTGACACAGCGCAAGGTCGAGACTTTCAACTCAAAACAGAATATCTTGATGCAATATCTTGATGAATAAAATCTTGGAACTATCATCGTTACACTTTACGACTTATAAAGTTATAACTTAATAATTAATCTTCCAAAATGGAAATTAATTGATCAAATCATCATCAATTTATTTAAAATCTCGTGTATTTTCAGGTGTATGCGAAATACCCCGAGGGAACGAAGGATGTGTTGTTAGGACGCTCCCTAAACTTGCCCTTAAAAGAGGGAGGCAAAATGTACACCTCCCAACTGGGTTAGTTAATATATATTATACAATAAGTGATGTAAGTTAATATTTAATAAGTAAGTTAATATTCAATAAGTTAATATCATATCTAGTTACTAAAGTGAGTTAATATTTAGTAAGCTAATATCATATCTAGTCACTAAAGTAAGTTAATTCTTAGTAAGTCAATATCATATCTAGTTAATATTTAATAAGTTAATATTATGTTATTACTGAAGTATGGAAATGTGCAAGGAATTGGTAAATTTTAACTTTCGTTTTTAGTAAAAAGAAAGAAGCTGGCTTTCAAGCGTCAACAAAAGAAAGGTATTAGAGCCGTTATGCCAGGATTCGTGAATTATTTTTATAAAGATGGGGCACGTCCTACTGGTACCAAATCTTTTTTCAACAACTACTCGATCCTAACTATACACAGCATAATTTTATCTAATTCACTAATTTTCATGAATAACATTTTCTATTTCCCTAATCAGCTCCCTCCTCCCGTCGCAAAAACTATTCACGTAAATGTGCCGTCTCGTAACTTAAAAGTTATCACTGAAGCTAACTATGATTGGTTCAATGACTGCAATACTGCCATATATAGAAATTCAATATTCTTCAACAGCCCACTCCTATTTGTAGACGCATCGATAGACGAAGCATTCAATTCAGTGTCATGCCAATCGCTGAAGGTGTTCAAATCACAATGTAAGAAAACAATAATGAAGCTGCAGAAGAGGGATGATTGTGTAAATGAGTGGTCCACGAGTAAATTTCTCATCCACGAAATCAGTGGCCTCGCTCCGTAGGTCCACAAGAAACAGAAATTCCTAACTGTTTTTGCTGCTAATTGGCGCTAAATCCAACGTCCAGAATTAAGTTTTAAATTTGTTTTCTATCACTTTTATACCAATCCAAATCAATGCTATTATAATATGTAAATTTTTAAAGAGAATCTGTTTGTTGTATGTAGTGAAATTAATTTTTAAACTCAATCTCAAACCCATTTGTAAACGTGATTTGTGAAGAAAAAAAATTCTTTTGTACTTTTACTACATTTTTTATAATCTGCTGCGTGCCATTAAATAACGAATCCAAAATGTATTTTCCATTATTTGCAGTTTGTTGCGATTTTATCACATTTGTCCTCAGTTTTTTTCTATTTAGTTTTGATATATTTTCTAGTAGTTATGTTTTCAGGAGTGCCCATTGGGGTCTTTATTTTTAACTTATTATGATTGTAATCAATAAATTAGTTCATTAGAGACAACCCCCTTACGAGGGGCTTTCAATCAATCAAGCTAGCAAAGTAAGGTGATTTTTATTAGGTATGTTGTAAATGTAAGTTTCATATCTATAAAGTCCCTGACCCACTCCCATTTCTAGGTACAGGTGATAAATCAAAGGCTGGTACGGGTCAACAAGTTCCTGGAACTGTTAAAGTGATCATCCGGTATAGGACGACTAAGTGAGTGTAATTCCCCCGGACTTTCGCTGCGCGCCACGTGATCACGTGATTTTACACCATGTGACGTTATCATGACGCTATCATGACGTCATGTTAACTGTGACGTCACGTGAGTTGTAACGCCACGTGTGATGTGAGTTGTGTTCGCGCGTGCTTGGCTTTAAAAGTTATTGATCTGTTTACGACCCTTATAACAACTGTTAAGATTTTGTACATAGCCGGTATCCTTTACGACTAATCATTATTATATTTTCAATTCAAGTTAAGCTATATGTTACAAGCGAGCAAATCTAATTTTGACGTGGTTAAGAAGGTTTGAGGCCCTTTCTGGTAGGGATCAATTTCTTTGTTTAAATCTACAATTAACCTGCCTATTGCTCTGATTATATTTATGATATGGTCTAGATTTTAGTGATAACCCCTCAAAGTATAATGATTATATTTTCTTTTAACTTTTAGTTACAATTTACACTGCGAAGAGCTAATATTGCTGTACGATAAAATTTCACCGAAGCTTTGGATAGAGAACAGCCTCCCTTTTGCTAGTATAATAGTAGAGGGTGCGCAAATTTATTGAACAAATTTACAATTTAGTTATAACTAACTTCTTATTATTTACACGGTATAATGTATATGATTAAATGGTATTTTAAATCAAACGCGTTGTTTTCTATCGGATTTATATCGAATATTGTTGTTTTATGGATATGTATGTAAACTAATTAACTATCAGTATTATATTATAATTATGGTTATTTTGGTACAAGTTGTGAATTTAAATAGGTTAAAGTATCGGGCTAGCTTCTAACATGCTCCTATTCCTAATTATAATCGTAACTTTTTTCACCGTTATTTTATCGATATTATATTATTCAACTCATCCGCATATGAATAGTACACAATATTTAGTGTTTAAAACGTGGAACTTGATTCAAAAACGAGTTTCAGGAGTATTCATTTTTTGAGAAACTTGTTTTGGTTGAGTAAATTGATACGTATTTTGAACATTTTCAAACTTGAAGTAACAAATACGATTATTAATAAAATGAGGAGTTTATTTATTTCATAACTCTGTTTTTCTTCAGCACTTAAATTCATGAGTACAAAATAAATGACTGGTGTTATTTGCAGGCACACAAAAAGTCAGTACTACACAAAAAATCGGACCTACAGACGATAAAATGGAGGCTTACTACCGACAAACAGTCACAAAGACGAACAAACAGTCACAAAGACGAAGAAACACACACAGACACACAGTACACACACACTAGTTATAGTCACTACACAGACAGACAGCGTACCTGTGAAATTACCCAAAAAAATGTTTATCTTCATTAACTCTCAGACTGCTTATCTTACCAATCTTCATTAACCTGTTTATTATTTGAATATGTTATGTACTTTATCGGAACTTATTTGGACGGACATAACTTTGGGAGGATTTCATTAAAGAGAACCCTAATATAACACTCCCGACTTGACAATACAAGAATTTATGATTGATGATCGAAACTGCAAAATACGACTCAGAAAATATATAATGCAATTAAAAGGGTTAAAGCATAAAGGGTTGAGAAAAAACAACCAGTTTATTTTCACAATCGGTCCAGCCGGGCCGGGTTCAAATTCTCAAATAACAATTTAGCCTGTCTCTATCGGGAAACGTACTTTACTCATTTGAAAGTTTGAACTAAAATCTTGACACACGCTGCTGACGAATGTTACTCGTCTAAATTTCTTTGAAGTCTAGTAGTAGTAGCGCACTTGCCCGATGGCAAGTGCTACGTCGCGCGCTACGAAGTAGAGCGCGCGCCGGGCCAGACCATTAACAATGGTCAACACACGCTGCAACCCCTAGTTTTTGATAGCCGCGCGCGTGCACGAGAGGTATACAACGTGTCTAGCAACTAAAATCTTACTGTCCGTGAACTTGAAGAGAAGGTCCATATTTCACATTTGCGAAGAGGTTCATGGTCTTGGCTTCGGAACTGAGCTAAAAGATGAGAAGCACGTAATGTTCGTACTTTAATGTTTAAGTTTAACAGCTGTTTTAAAAGCACCCTCACGAAAATCGGGGAGAGGTCGGTGGTGGGTTACATAAACAAACGCGTGTGCAACTTTGATAAAATTTAACGTCTTAATTTAGATCTGGATCGTGAAGACATGAGTGACGAGTTCCAACATGTCAAAATTCATATAACTGCAAAGGTTATAACAAAACCAAGGTTATAGCACATTTCTACAGATCATGTCACCGTCAAGAGATACCATGTGTTATACCACTACTGCAGTAAATTCATTAGCTAGGCTTACTTGATTACGTAATACGTACTCAATAGACTAGATAGACACTCACGCAAACACGCTATGTTTTATAAAGGCGATGCAAATTGCAAATATTGATCAAGCCAGAACCTCATTGACACACTGGCAAAATATATGGTTTTATTCAAACGGTTTCCAAACCAACGGCAACACGAGCAACGTCCAACGAGCAGTGACCAGCCTAGTTAGCAGCAGTGAGCAGCAGTTAGCAGCAGTTTCTTGGCTGTTGCACTATATTCCTCGATCCTGTGCACAGTGCCACCCTTATAATTGTTGTCATACGTTGTATGACCCGCCGCGCACGAGTGCGCGGCTCCCCTGCATGTATCGTAGAAACTCTACTATAGTGAAGCGGCAGTGGGGGTCACCACGTGATACAATATTACCTGGGGACCTCAGGCTATCATGTTCATAAACATACAGATTATATTAGGCGGAATGACAGGCTGAGCGCGGCCCAGTAAGATACAATATAATTGATTTGACCATGTGTATATACAAATGATATTGAAAACACATTAAATAGTACTACTTATAGTACTATTAATATTAGTCAATGTCAACCCATCGTCGATCGTTGCTCTGCTTCGCAGAGCAACGATCTCGATGGGTTGACATTGCATCGTCAACCAAGCTTCCTCCCTGCGACCACGGGCTTTCTGTATAATGTAGAATGCATGGGTACTGGGTTTCTGCTGTCATACTTTTCCACCCGGAAAACTCAAACATACATTTTCTTATTTAGATATCTAAGTTAGATTGCAGTATCATCTGAGCTATTGGTCATAGCCCATCAACTGTAAGATTAAATTAAATTAGTTTTCTATAGTCATATAACCAACTCTTTCCCTTACGACATTATTTTACCCCCTTTCGTCGGTTCTGATGATACTGTCCTGGTTGTATGAAGAGTTTAGTTATCCTTTTGTAGTGATGCTATGGTCATTTAGCATATTTGCTTCTACAATACCTGTATTTATACACTCTGGTTCATTAAAATCGAAAATAAATTCCGTTCCTGAGGTGCAGGTCACCTCGCTGCTCCCTTTATTGAGAACTCCAGAGTCCGAGCATGTCACTTCCACCACGGTTCCTGGGACTACTGGGAACCTTGTTGTTGTTCTGATCGCAGTTGTCCACTCAGCCTTCAGTCCCGTACAGCTCACTGTCGATGACGATATAATGTCATATTAATTAAATCAAGTTAAACTGATTAATTGGGTTGTGTGATACAATTATAAGGGTTATTTTGACGGTTTCTTATGTTCTTTTCCGCGATTTAATTTTCCTGTCCCAACCCGAACCCTTTCAACTTTTCAAGCAACCTCTAACATAACTATACTATCGTTTGCTCGGTGGTCCAAGTCTCAAATACTGTATACAGTTTACCATTCTGTAGCATAGTTTATTTTACCTGGGGACCTCAGGCTATCATGTTCATAAACATAAAATAGTCATAGAGATTAGGCGGAATGACAGGCTGAGCGCGGCCCAGTAAAGTTTATTCAAATTTAAAACATAACAATAATATAAAATGTAAAGTTATCTTACCACAGGCAGTTTTGTTAGTGTTTGGTTTCCATCCAGCGTCACATGTCTCACAGCTTGTCATAGCATCATTCCGATATGTTCCTTCCCCACACGGCTCTGGAATTAAAACTTTACACTTACAACTGGCAAATCGTTGCTCACCAATGACAGTTTATGTGAAATCTTGAAAATAACACTGTCTGGTGTTTTGAACTGTGTAATCGCATTATACGCAGTTAGATTAGCGTATAAAACAATATGTGAAAAATTAAATATCCACACAACCACAGTTTTTTGATAGAATTAGAATGATTACCACCCTGACTTACGGTTTTTGTCGTTTCGTACCACAAATTTGCCTTTTTGATTCTAAGTCCTATCTGGCGCCTTATCCTTATCCCTTCTCAACCTTTATCCTATCTATGCCCATCTATGTATAGATATAATCATCTCAGCTCGGTTCTTGTTAACAATCCTTACCACATTTTGTTTTCCCTGAGTTTCGTTCCTGGCCAAGTTCACAAGTTGTACACAAGGCTGCTCCTTCTGAACTGATCGTGTTATCAGGACATTCTTCACATGTGTTCATTTCAATGTTCTTGTAGCTTCCAGCTGGACATGGCTCTGAAGAATTAGGAAATCTTTAAGCAGCAATTCGTTTGAACTTCCTTATTAAGAAGTTATTGCGAGTACCAATATCTTCGGTTTTCATTCTATAGCACCTTTAATTCAAATTTTAAACATAACAATAATATTAAATATAAGCTTTAAAGTTATCTTACCACAGGCTGTTTTGTCAGAGTTTGGTGTCAATCCAGCGTCACATGTCTCACAGCTTGTCATAGCATCATTCCGATATGTTCCTTCTCCACACGGCTCTGGAATTATAACGTTACAACTGGAAAATCGTAGTGGAAAATAAGAAAATCGTTATTATATAAGAACTTAAGTACACTTCAGATGTGTTACAATAACATTAGATTTAAAACAATATGTAAAAAATTAAACATCCTCACAACCACAGTATTTTGATAGAATTATTTATATTACCACCCAGACTTTTACGGTTCTTGTCTTTTCGTACCACAAATTTGCCTTCTTTATTCCAAGCCCTATCTGGCGCCTTATCCTTGTCCCGTCTGAAGCCTTATTATATCTTTGCCCATCTATATATAGATATAATCATCTCGGCTCGGTTAACAATTCTTACCACATTTAGTTCTCCCTGAGTTTCGTTCCTGGCCAAGTTCACAAGTTGTACACAAGGCTGCTCCTTCTGAACTGATCGTGTTATCAGGACATTCTTCACATGTGTTCATTTCAATGTTCTTGTAGCTTCCAGCTGGACATGGCTCTGAAGAATTAGGAAATCTTTAAGCAGCAATTCGTTTGAACTACCTTATTAAGAAGTTATTGCGAGTACCAATATCCTCGGTTTTCATTCTATAGCACAGATAAATTTAAATTTAAAACATACCAATAATATTAAATAAAAGCTTTAAAGTTATCTTACCACAGGCTGTTTTGTCAGAGTTTGGTGTCAATCCAGCGTCACATGTCTCACAGCTTGTCATAGCATCATTCCGATATGTTCCTTCTCCACACGGCTCTGGAATTATAACGTTACAACTGGAAAATCGTAGTGGAAGATAAGAAAATCTTTATTATATAAGAAATTAAGTACACTTCAGATGTGTTGCAATAACATTAGATTTAAAACAATATGTAAAAAATGAAATATCCACACAACCACGGTTTTTCGAGGAAATTATTGCCACTCAGACTTTTGTGGTTCATGTCTTTTCGTACCACGAATTTTCCTTCTTAATTCTAAGCCCAATACTAATTCAAATTGTTATCAGTCATCAGGGTTAACGCTAAAAATTCGCCTAATCAACAAACTATGAAGGCACAATGCACATACTGTGTAAACTCTGCAAAATAAATATTGAACCAAAACAGTTTTGAGTTTGTTTGGTAAAATACCTTACTGCTTATGTTCAAGATATTTTGTAAAAACATCAGTTTTCAATTGATAATTGTTTTAACCTTTAGTAGCTGAAAATGGCTTGTCTCCATGATGTCTACTACAAAATATGCAATATTTCTAAATTATAGTTAGCTATTTTGCAATCCGCTATCGCCAATATGATTATAACTCTGCCTTCAGTGAAAGAATGTGATTCTATCTCATTCGGAGAACAGTAATTGATAAAATTATGACCACTTTATTAAGTTATAAGTAACAATATGCTAACTATCCTATATCCCATATCCTATATATGTGTTATATTATGTTAAATAACACACTCGTGATTACGTGTTTTTTTTTGCTCATGCAGGCACAAAAACACGTAATCACGAGCTTACGAGAGAAACAGCAAGTTAGTTTATTTATAAATTAAAGTTTAAATTGTTACTTTGTTAAACCAGTGCTTGTTGTTATTAGTCACCTGGTTGTTGTCGGTAGTAATCAGATGCTCTGTGACTGTCGGCGGAAGCAAACCTTATCTTTGTCACGTCTCTGTTCCAGATAGTGCTCCAAGCGTTATTACTGCACGTTGATTCAGAGAGCAGTATGTTGAGAACCTCCACCTCGTTACAGTGTATCACTAGTCTAGGGTGGTGTCTAAGGTTAAAATCACCTGCAGTTCTGGTTAGAGTGATACGCCACACCTTGTCAGTAGCAGAGGGGGGATTAACAGGGAAGTTAGTGTTGGAGTTGCTGCACCAGTTGAGCCAGTATTGTAGAGTACATCTGAAGAAGATGTAGACTGCTCCTGCATAATCTCCACCAGCAGAGAAGAAGACCACTCTCACCGTTTCGTCATTCCCCAGCACGCTATCAGTTCTAACTTCGAAAGGTGTCGACTCAAGATCCCACTCTATAAACACCAGAGGTACGACTGGTAGCCAACCTGTTAATTTTATGTTTAACTCATAACTACTGAGCAACGATTAATGATTATAGGTGAAAATTCTGTTTTCCTCCACTAGCGAGCTCAACAAATGAAACAAGCAGTTAATCACACAAAAATATTTTCGATGGTCTACATCTTCATCAGTTCTCAAATTATTTGTTATATAGTAGTGTTGAAAGTTTTAATACTTTCAACACTATAAAAAACTATATATAGTTATATATAACAAATAATACTATATAACAAATAATTTGAGAACTGATGAAGATGTAGACCATCGAAAATATTTTTGTGTGATTAACTGCTTGTTTCATTTGTTGATCTCGCTAGTGGAGGAAAAACAGAATTTTCACCTATCAACATTACGTCATGCGACTCTTAAACAACGCCCCACTTACTCATCTTTACGATTAATGAATATCATGAATTTATAAAGAAACGGTGTTCTATCAAAATTGTAAAGGAATTGTAAGAATGTCGCCGATAGTTTATTCTCAAAATTTAAGGGCCCGACCATACTATCATACTATGACTGTTGTCACCATGACTGTTGTCATAGTGCAGTCAGATGTAATCCCAACAGGCACGACAGTCATGACCAAAGGCACGTAGTGTGTTTAGAGGGCGTGCCAAGGATACGTGACAACTCCCGAGGCATGTCAGGCACTTCTTTCAAAAAGCCGTACCTAGCTAAAAATCCGTGCCTGACGTGACTGCAGGCACCAGGGACAAAAGGATTTCGCGATTATTTTGGCCAAAAATCGCGATACCGCGAATTACATTTCGCGGTATATTAAACTATACATAAAATTTGTCGCAAATAATGGGAAAAATCGCGATTCGGTAGGGACTAGTAAGACATTTTGGCATTTGCTTAGTGCTTAATTTCCAGCGAAAAATTAAAGAGCAGTAGTACCACTGGGAAATGTCAAACTCTTAAGACGATGAGGCCTGAGTAAATCGTAAATTCTGATTGGAGAATGCAGATTGCTGTTGTGAAGTTACAAAATTTACGTGAGTACTTGATTCTTTTCAGTCCCAGTTTATTGCTGTCCCCTGGACCCGCTGCGCCCCCACGATATGCTAACTAGTAAGTGTTGAATACGATATTCTAATTAGTAACTGTTGAATACGATATTCTAACCAGTAACTGTTGAATACGATATTCTAATTAGTAACTGTTGAATACGATATTCTAACTAGTAACTGTTGAATACAATATTCTAACTAGTAACTGTTGAATACGATATTCTAACTATAAGTAACTGTTGAATACGATATTCTAACTAGTAACTGTTGAATACGATATTCTAACCAGTAACTGTTGAATACGATATTCTAACTAGTAACTGTTGAATACGATATTCTAACTAGTAACTGTTGAATACGATATTCTAACTAGTAACTGTTGAATACAATATTCTAACTAGTAACTGTTGAATACGATATTCTAACTATAAGTAACTGTTGAATACGATATTCTAACTAGTAACTGTTGAATACGATATTCTAACTAGTAACTGTTGAATACGATATTCTAACTAGTAACTGTTGAATACGATATTCTAACTAGTAACTGTTGAAAACGATATTCTAACTAGTAACTGTTGAATACGATATTCTAATTAGTAACTGTTGAATACGATATTCTAACCAGTAACTGTTGAATACGATATTCTAACTAGTAACTACTGTGTACGTACCATCATCATCAGTAGCAGCAGCTCCAGCGAAGAAGAGGGCTGTGAGGAAGATAACCATCTTGATCCCAGTCTGGGTAACTACTAACTATGGTAACACGTCTGGGACTTGTTACCTCGGCAACTATCACGACTTGATAGTGGACTACTCCGGAGGTGGTTATCTGATCTAACTTTGGATAGCTTTAAAATTGTAAGCAGTGTCACAAACGAAGGAGAACCGTTGGCGTGTATAAGTATTGTGGCTACAAAGAGAGCATGCTCCCTCTTTCTAACCTTGTATTACGTGGTTGTCATGTGGAGGAAAAGGGACTAATGGCTCAACAAGCCCAGGTTTTATGTTATTGTTACTGAGAGCCAGTGAGAGCTGCTCTTTAATACTAGTCTGTATGGCATTATATGTTCATTATATGCAAACCTCTTGATTTATTATGCTCGATGATCTCAACCCGTGGGACGTGCTAACCTGTGCTATTCAGCAGCTCATGCGAGAGAGTTGTACTATGGACTACTAAAGGTAGACCTGTAAAGGTAGATTTAGCAGTTCACCAGGCGCGCAGACTAATGAATCACAAACATGGTTCTAGCTTTTTAAACAGTAGCTGAGATGAGAATCCCGGCTCTTTGGTTTACAAGGCCAGATAGTGTGGATAATGTTAGGGTAACCAGGGTTTCTTTCTCTAGCTGGTGAATTATGCATTGTTTTACCTGCATGGGGACCCCAGGCTATTATGTTCATTAACATAGAATAGAGATTAGGCGGAATGACAGGCTGAGCGCGGCCCAGTAAGCATTGTTTTGAAAAAAATACCATATTTTCGGACTACCAAAAGTTAATAGGTCACCGTCATTACTTTCCAAGCGTTCTACTGCTAAATCAAATTTTACGATCGATCTTCGAGATTGTTCTAAAAGAACCCCTGACATGGTTGAAATATACTTGGTTCAATGTATTTTCGAAAGCTGATTCCGAATCACTTAACGGCCCGGGTGATACTCGTAAAATATTTGTTCCACGACCGTCGTCGAGTCCAATTAACTCGGCGCGCGTTTTGGTAGGTTATACTTATAAACCTACAAGTACAAGTACAAAGTACAACGAATCACCCCACATGACATAAAGTTAGGCGGTGCGCCATCAACAGTAAGACGCGCGCGCTGACCATTGAATGGTTTTTTAGCTCTTATTTCGGCCAGCACATTATTTTGGAAACAATCGAAAAGTTATAATACTTCCCATATAACAATTTTGTTGAAATTTGGTCAGCTTACGTAAACACTTATGTTCTACTGAACCTAATTTAGTTTGAGCAATTTCGATGGTCAGAATTCGAGTTATCAACGAATTTATACCTATTTTGTCATTTTTAGACCTCTTCATCAAGACCAATCTCTCCCAACTAAATTAGGTTCGGTAGGTAAGTATGATTGGAAGGTTCTGACAAATTTTCAGCATGATTCATGATCAGGAAGCGAAGATATGACAAAATAATACGACAAAAATCAACGAATTTCGTCAAATTACGCGACTTTTACACCTAATTTTGCTGGCTAAAGCCGCGCACCATCAAATATGGCATTTAGGCAAAACTCACTGATCATTCCAAAAAGGTATGAAAAATTTGGTACTGTGAAAATTCTCACAGTCTCTAGAAAACAATAATACAAAAATTTTGAAAATCCGAGCAAGTTTATTTTTATCGTGCACTCCCTAATAAAGTTAAATAAATACTCCCCTAGCGAGATATCGGCGAAAATCTGTCTCGATCATGTGATAATGATATGACTAGGTAGTGCGCTGGATTATGATTAATGATTCTATTCACCTAGCTAGCCATAATATATATTACTGGATGGAGCCTAACTTTGAAAGTAAAAGAGTTAGAGACTTCCGGTTTTTTGTAACATGTTCGTCTTGTAAAAGTTATTAGTAAGTCACGTGATTATTTTTGGGCGAGCGAATTAGTAAGAGCCCTAGTTGACATGGTAACTAACGGATTACGACATATATAAAACCAAGTACCTACCTCGCTCACCAAAATCCACGTTTTTCTGCAAAAAAGTCCATTAGTAATTTTTCAATATTGCCTTTTTACAAATAAAAAGGGTAAACGGAAAAAATACGTTTAGAAAGGAGCAGTGTTTCTGAAGTCCCTAGCGTATCGAGCAGAAAATGCCCGTAAGAGCTTCTACTAACGTGCAAATTAGGTAAAAAGCAAAAGATTGCAAAGTAACCCCAAAATTACTGGAAGTCCAAATCTTGAAGAAAATTTAAATTTAAAAATCATATTCAATATTGTCCCATTTGCAAATTTTGAAGATGAAATTTCCAGAACCGAAATTTTACAGTTTTTACTGAATTTCTCACCTGCAAACAATTTAATTAGTCAGTCAACTATAATTGGAATATGACACGATTGAGGTGCTGGAAGTTTTATTTCAGTTGGAAGAAGCTCACTGCATGCAGAAAGCTTAACAAAACGAAATTAAATTTCGTATTTTCCAATTTCTGTCCCATTTTCAAATATGAAAATTTCTGAACGCAATTTTGACAGATTGGATGGAGATTTTTCCCAGAAACCAATTATTCAGTTAAAAGATGATGGTATGAAACCAAATTGAGGTACTGGAAGTAAAAATTGCGGTTCATAAGATAAATTACAAAAAATTCAATTGATTGCAGATTCAGTATTGTCATCAAAATAAGCTATATTTTAAGAGGTAACATGAAAACCACAAAATAACAGTAAGCACTAAAATAAGTAACACTACCGGTAAGTAATGAAGTAAAACTAAAACAACTCTGTTTCACTTTCAGCTGAACAATAAAACTATAGCCAATTTCTCTGTAACCTGCAAAACTGCTTAAAATGTTTACACAGTTTAGTTAAGCCCAAGAAGTCTTCAATCTTTGACCATAAAAACACATCAACTGCGGTAATTTAAACAAATTGTTCCACAGTATAACACCAAACGTTCCTCAGAACTCCTACTACAAACACTTACATTTACTGACAATCAAATCATCAAACTTTTTAAGCACAGTCACGTGATCACCACTCAACATTAGAGTAGCAGGCTTGTAAGTGGAAGGTACACAGCAGGGCCTCGCTACCGAGTCCGGGAATTTCTTGTACCAGGCCCCTCTGAAGAGAGCACTGGTTGAGTGGTCGATGGCATGGGACATAGGGTAGGGACACTGCCCCGCGCACTGATTTATCTTTAGCTCTAGCGGGTGGATTATCTTACTGCCCCAGCCTAGTTTAGTGAAGTTTAAATACAGATCCATGAGGACACACCTATGTTGGAAGCCCCTGCTAGCTCGCACTCCCTGGTCTCCCTCCCCGGGAGAGCGGCCTGTCTCCCCTCTTGGTTACTCCTCATGTACTCTCTAAAGGGCTTAGATGAGTTATTCACTGTGTACACCACCAGGGTTGGCTCCTTGCTCCTGGAGATGCTGAAGATAGGGGTTCTGCCCCCGTATTTGTCCAGGTAACCATGACTGAGCTGGGTGGTGATGGAGCAGCGCACCACGAAGTGGTAGAAGTGTCGGTAGGGGGTGAGGTTATTTAGGGTGCGTTCTATGGAGCTTACTTTGATCTTTATCCACTGTCCAGTGTCTGACTTCTTCAGCTGAGGTACATGTGTTGGTTAGAATCGTCTTTTTGGACTTTATTTGGGCGGAAATTGCGAGAACGGATATAATTGAATTATGGACGCAACAATTTCTTTGGAAACACATGGTAAGATTCATTTTCAATCTGGACGTTTCATTCAAACTATAAGAAAACAAATTCTCAGCAAATTGTAACATTTCCATGCCTGTTTAGTATGTCTCCAAACCCTTCCTTTCACCAGTAAAACATCTGAGCGGTCGTATATTCTCGTTTTACAGGTCGTTTTCAATGTTACGGCTGTAACGGAGCCCTCTTTTGTTAAAGGTATACTCTCACTTATATCGCCCACAAATACTCTCAGATTTGAAGCTGAAATGTGTGAGTGTTTAATCAACTGGAGTTTCACTTTTTCGATAGGATTCTTAGCTAGCACGTCGATACGACGAAAATTGTGGTTTAATCTTAATCTCTTCGCAATCTCTTTAGCATCATCAATAATAATTGCATTCATCTTAAATCCCTTCTCGTGATCTTCTAACCAACTGCAATTATAAGTTTTGTACTATATATTCCTTATTTTTAATTCTCTCACCTAAGATTCTATCCTCTCTGTTAAAAGCTGATATATTAAAATCCAATTTCGCTTTTTGTGGTAAATAGAAACCTTCCAATTCTGTCACACCTGAAGATGTAAAGTGTTTTTAGTATATAAATATAAGTTCTTTTCAGTAATTGAATAGATTTTTTTACTAAGTGAATAGTGTTTTTTAGAAATCAAATAAGTTTTCTCTACTAATTCAATGTGTGTTATTGTAGAAGTCAGATACATTTTCTTTTAAATAATCAAACTTGCATTATTTACTAATCAAATAAGTGTTATTTTTTGTTTCAGTAAGTAAATGAATTTCCCCGAGTAACTATGGTCCTTGTTCAGGTAATTACATGAACTACAATAGAAGTCTCCAATGGTTCCCACAACCAATAAACCGCACCTAACCTTATAAGGCTTCTTAATTAAAATCTGCTGAGAGTTCAGTTTTAAGGCTTCTCCAGCAATAGGAGCTGCATCCCTCTGTAACCATGGTTACCATGGTTATTGTAACCATGGTTATTGTAACCATGGTTATTCATATTGTAACCATGGTTATTCATATTTTCTTGAATTACTTTACACTTAAGTAATGATTTATAAACTTGCTTGACACCAACACATGAACTTTCAAATGTAACGAGTTGATTGATTTGGATGTGGGACAGCAAATTGGTGGTATAAAATAATAAGAGTCATGCTCGACTATAAATACAAATCCTTACGCTCCCGTAGAGCGATCGATTGTTGATAAGATATCTCTTGGATTGCAAGGGCGAAACTTTTTAATTCGGAAATTACATCTCCATTGCCCTGGTTATTGTGCTTACCATGGTTAACGATGCATTATTTCAGTAACATACAATATTCATGTGCTTCACATATATGTCGCTACCATAGCCTTATCATGTATCAACCCTGCTTATAACCATAATGTTTATAATAACCACAATAAGTTTCATGTGTCGAACACTGGTCAAGTCTCGAAATAATTTTAGACGGCAACATTTAGGTCAATAAGATAGTAGATACGGGCTCTGTATTTATCCTCCATACTGTTTTACTTAGTTACTATAAGTTATGCATCCCAATTAACTTTTTTACACGCGTGTTTATTACATATGATTCTGTACACGTGACGGATGTTGCGCCTTTCATCTACCTTAATAACATCGCGATAATTCATTATATTCACAATTATAATCACTGGTCTAATTTATTGGCAATTGACAGAAATTAGTGATTTCCTCCTCACTTAAACAAATTGGACCGCACAATCAAACAATTGACAAGTTGTAGTATACACCTAACCTGTTTTACTTTTAGTATATTATAGTATACAAGTGCGAGAACATGTTTGTTATCGGCGCGGTTTTTCAATTATTTTAATCTTGGCAAGGATGGATATCCCGATCTTCAAAATACCTTTTCATACAAAATAGATACAATTCACTTTGCAGAGACTCAACGAGGTGATTGATAAAATTTTGTTTAACAAATGTTTAGTAAAATGTGAATATCTTGTTAGTGTTCTCCTCCCCATCCTCCCCCTTCTCACCCTCCTCATCCTCCTCCCCCTCCTCCCTTCCTTAATCCTTAACCCCTACTGTACCTGATCTGTAAAATTTGAATATCTTGTTAGCGTTCTCCTCCCCCTCCTCCCCATCCTCCCCATCCTCCCCCCTCCTCCACATCCTCCCTCATCCCTTCCTTTACCCCATACTGTACCTGATCTGTAAAATTTGAATATCTTGTTAGCGTTCTCTTCCTCCTCCTCCCCCTCCTCACCCTCCTCCCCCTTCTCACCCTCCTCATCCTCCTCCCCCTCCTCCCTTCCTTAATCCTTAACCCCTACTGTACCTGATCTGTAAAATGTGAATATCTTGTTAGCGTTCTCTTCCTCCTCCTCCACTTCTCCGACTCCTCTGTTGAACTTGTTGTAGAGCTCTATCAGATAATCCGGGGCTGATACCTCGTTATCACTGGGATAGTCACGTGTTATCACTAGGGTAGTCACGTGTTATCACTAGGGTAGCCACGTGTTATAACGGGATAGTCACGTGTTATCACTAGGGTAGTCACGTGTCGTCGTAATTGAATGGTGAGTTTAAAACAGGTAAAATAATGATATGAAATTTTAGTTTTAACTCTTACTTCAGAGCTTCAGCGTTACTGAGCGTTAGTTGAACCGTATAACGATTAGCGGGTTTTTTTTGGCCAACATTTACGATTTCTATCCGGTTTTCAGAAAATAGCCCCCAAATCGGCCGAACAGTTATAACTTTTTGATCAACATTTTGTTTGTTGATAGTTGAGTTTGACTAAGCTCGCTTTTGATTTGGATATAGAACAAAATGAAATTGCATCATATGTATAACGATCAGTTTGAAATGCTATATCTATCCCGAATATGCCTTGGTATAACTATTATATCAGGAGGAAGTTTCTTTCGTGAATTCTCGTCAACCCCTTAACTACACATGTTTTTGTGGAAATCATGCATTGTCTCAAAAACTGCGAACTAGAGAGGAACTAACAATAATTCCTTGATAATCAAACTTCTGAGCGTGAAAAAAGAAAGTAATGATTACCCTCCACAGTCGAGATGTGTGAAGCTACTGAGGAAGATAACGAAGCTGCAGAGCAAAGTCCTGCTCGATCCCTGAAGTGACGTCATCTTCTTTCTTGTCACGTGTTAAGTGAGCTGTAATATCTGTTACCTTGGTAACGAGCACGTGCTGTGTGTGCAGTAAGTTGTCGCGTGCTTTATCAACGTTGAATTATCTGAATTAAACTGCAACACTGGATCCTGGAATAACAAAAACTCATGTCAAACTCAACAGATGTCAAACTGATTTGATGCCCTGGAAACATGTTACCATGGTAACTTGTACACGGACATAGGCAATTTCCCTCGCTATTGTGAACCAATCAGATTGCTCTATTCAGCTCAGGGACGTGTCACGTGGTGAGCTCAAAGTAATTGAAATATAGACTCTGTAATGATTTATGTGTCCTATTTCCTTGGTAGCTAGAGTTTTATTAATGCGATGGAGAGGGGGGTTGTGATTTAAACAACACGCGTATGCAGTGCCCCACTCTGTACCTAATACAAGCTGTGATAGAGTCCAGCTGATCTTTAATCGAAAATCAGCTACACTGTGATTAATAATTATCTGTTTTATTTGCCAACATCTGAATGGATGAGTACCGTATTACTAATACTACTTAAATTTAATTATTGAAACGTTGTGTACTGACGGAGTGATTGTAACTGCAGTTAAAACAGGAAATTGGAAAAAAATGCAGAAAACTGAAAAAAAAACTGAAAAAAAATGCTGAAAAGTGGTGAAAAATGGGATTATGTCAAAGGTTTACCTTCGATTTTGATCCAACTGTTCGATTTGAAATTTAAACTAACAAAGCTACATTTTTGTAACCCTAACCAAATTTATATAAATGGAAAAAAACCCTAACATAACATGTAACATAACATTAACATGTTACAGCTTTACAGTATCTAAAAATGTCCACTACTTAACAAACTGAACCGATCTAAATCAATTTTGAAGGGTTGGAATTATATCAGTTATTGCAGTCACATGCTACAAAATTAATGTGAAACCTATCTAAATAGATAATTGACAATTAGTATTACACGTTTTAAATTATAAGGTGACGTACACATTACAATTCTAGGCAACAAAAACATAATTAGAAACCAATATGTTATTTATATATTTATAAAATAAAATCTAAACCCTAACTTCATAAAAACGAACCTCTCCATTTTCCAGATGTTACGAATGAAGAAAATGAATGAAGAAAGAAGGCGTTAAAACGACCAGGGAATTCAGAAAGTAAAGCCTGCGACTGGTCTAGTACAGTATATGAAACTTAAAACTAGCCTACAAGCAATAGTATGCAGTAAGCCCTCGTCTGTCAATATACTAACTCACTAATATACGATAACAAACTGATAGGATGAAAGGAATACTTCTCATACAACACCCGTGATGTCACGTAGCTAATCAGCACTCCGGCTCTAATAAACCTAACACGTGACACGCACGTGGTAACACGCTGTAACACGTGGGCGCGCTCTCTTATCACGTGACCGCGAGGTTTAGTGGTTCGGTTAATTAACGATACGTTTTAATGTCCTGTAGACGAGCTCTTGTGGTTCATCGGGCGACTTGGGTTTATAATGTTTTAATTACAGCCAACTAAAGTAATTGGGAGTACTGCTACAGTTTGCTAATATAAGAATATAGCAGTAATTATTAATTAATGTGCTACCATAAACATAAACTTTTTATGACTGAGGTCTCGAGTAACAGTGCTACAGTAGCCAGTACGTAACTCTAACAATAAAATCATCATGGCACACGTTAGTCGTTACCATAGGAACACGTTACCATAGCAAAATGTTGCCATATTTGATAGCAATAAGATACCGCAACATTAACATGTTTGCATAGCAAAACGTTACGTAGCAAAACGTTACCGTAACTGTGCGTTACCGTAGCATCATGCTACAAAAATTGTTGTTGCAGTGATGCGTATAAGTGAAATTCAAAATGTTAAAGTTTCTAAAAACTTACTTGTAATCAATATAATATGTTACTTTCAAGCAAATCTTCACGACCAATTAAAATCGATATTTGATTTTTACTTTCTAACGTCCAAGAAATTAAAAAACAATTAGAAGAAAAAATGTGTCAGGGCATGGAAACTTAACTATTGATAAAAATTAAAAATGTAAGATCTGGAAATAACAAGGAGATCAGGGAAATCACGGAAATCAGCATGTTAATATCCTGATTGGGAGTATTTGTTCTGTCGAGGGCGTGTTCTTATAAGTGTCCTCATTGTATAGCGACTCATTGTTATCTGTATAGCCACACACCAACCATTACTTATTGTATTCTTTGTAGTATTGTTTAAGTAACGAAAATTATATCGTAAGCCCGCGACGAGCTGATGACTTGATAGGTTGTCAGTGTTGTATAAAGTTAGTAGAATCTTGTAAGTTGTAACACTGAAATATTAAAAAATCGCAGCGGTTAGCGCGTCATTTTGAGAGTCAAGCATATTCGGAGGGTATGTCAGAAACTGCAGGAGGGTCAGCTTGGACAATAGAGCGCGGTGGAAATTAGTTCATAGGATAAAATCCAAGATACAGACTACTATAATAGTTCAATGTTAAAACGTTGCAGTCAGCAGTTGTTAACTGTAGAAAGTTGTGGGAGAATTCAATAAAATTTCATATTTCACAAACATTGTACAAAACTTTATGTTTTACTGTTACAACCATTATTTTAGAAAAAAAAGTAATTTGGGGATGATCATCCATTAAAACCTAACAAAATTGTGCCAAATCAATTATAAATCTCACTATACTGTGCTGACTTTAATAAAGCAGTAAAATTTAAAACTGCTAATAAATCTCGGGGTTTTGTAACCCTCGGCCAAGTAAATCTCCTTAATCAGTTTATTTAATAAACTGTTTTTTAATAAACTGTTCACAAACACATAAATGTGTGATGAAATAGAATCGTAAGTATTCCGATAAATTTTCATCACATCATCATTAACAGTTCCAGGCCTTATAGCCCTCGTATAAAAACGAATCCTTGTGTTTGAACTGCGTTACAGATACATGACGTCAGTTTCCCCTCATTCTTTTAGTTTTAAAGTGAGCAGCAATTCGAGCTAAAAGTAGGGGGTTGTCGTCTCTTAACCAGCCAGAGGAGAGAGTGAGGGAAGTAACCAGGACCCATGCTGACCTAGGGGAACGTTATATTTATACACTTTCACTGTCACTGTTACTTTCACTTTCACTTTCACTTTCATCTTCACTTTCATATCACTTTCACTTTCACTTTCACTTTCACTTTCACTTTCACTTTCACTTTCACTTTCACTTTCATTTCACTTTCACTTTCACTTTCACTTTCACTTTCACTTTCACTAATACTGACCTGGGGGAACATTATAAACGAAAATCTGAATTTTATTTATAACAAAGTCGAGACTACTATGAGTTACCTTGGAAACGAAAACAGACTACATTGAGTTTGGATCGTCAGGTAAAGACTCTACGATGAAGCCGCACATCCACTGACAACCTGAGTCAATTAAGTAATTAAGTAATTATGTAATTATGTAATTATGTAATAATGTAATAATGTAAAAAATTATGTAAGTTAATACAGTAAAACCCCTATTAACAGTACAGTTTTGGTAAAGGAAATTAGTATTGTAAATCAGGGTGTACGGTAAATTTGGGTTTTGACTTTTGAATGATGTTCGTCTTCTTGAAGAACTGAAAGTGAAACATGCCCTCAACTGGAATGCTATCAATATTTGTTAAATCCACTGGTGTTGTTTGGTGGATTGAGCAGATTAGAGAAGTGCTCTGCCCAACTAATTAAGAATAAGTTACAAGTTTTAAGTGATAATTAATAATAATTAAATAAATAAATAGTTAATTAATTAAATAATAATAATAATTAATTTTTTTTATTTTTTATCATAAACTTTTCAAATTTTTACACAAATACATCATTTTATTTCAAACAAAAATTCGCCGAATGACCTGACATGCCTTGACAAGTGACCGAGTGTAAACAAAGATTAGGACAAACCTAAACACCATTGACCAGTAAACTTGATTCGCAGCAATTACATCGGGGCCCTAGATGCACCGAGAAGTGAAGCGATGCAGCAACCAAGGCATGCTAGGATGATTCCATTGAATTAATAAGGTTACAGCCTAAAATAATAAATAATTAATTAAACAATTAAATAATTATTAGAATTCAGATAACTAAAAGGTCCCTGTACTACTTTATCCAGAGGGACAGTCGGATAGGTAATCTCCCAGTGACCAACATGCTTTTTTTGGTCCTGAAGAATCTTATTTTAGTTTTACATACTGATGCACAGATTACACAGCGTATATTCCGGAATAAATGTACTTTTTTTCTCTAATGAGGTAGAATGCGATAGACCCATGAATAAAAAATATTAAAAATTCAAACATGAAAGGATGCCTTAATATTAGCAAATCACTGCCATATCCAATCCTTAATTTCTGCATCATATTGAAAAAACACAGGCTCCTCTTTCATACTGTCCCATTAGACAGTGTTTGTCTTGATCTGCAATATACTCTGAAGAAGTTCAGTAAGTGACCATGGTTAATTGAAGAAGTGGTAAGTGTAACCAGGTATATAAAAGAAGTGGTAAGTAACCATGTTACTAGAAGAAGTTGGTAAGTCCTTGCTGAGGAATGATCACTTTTTCTATAGAAAAGTTCTCGAGTTTTGGTGGAGTTTATTGACTTAAAAAAACAAAAACTACTAGTCCACAGTGTACATTAAATAAGTCGTAACCATGGTAACATGACGATAATATATTGAAAATATGGATTGTAAGTTGTAGCAATAAAAATTGTACCACATATCTGTAGATTTCTCGTTGATAGTCTGTCGACCACCATGGCTTTATTGGAGGTAGCATGTCGTACCTCAATTTTGTTGTTCAATTGGTTCAGGTGATCCACCAGGGTATCACAGTCCAGCATTCTACTAAACATGTTACAAACCGCAGAATACTTATTAGCTGTGTTTTAAATTTTTATCCAAAATAATTACCAAAATAAATGTGTTT